ATACACACACACACATACACAAAGATAGACAGAGAGAGATAACGAGAAAGAGAGAGAGAGAGAGAGAGAGAGAGAGAGAGAGAGAGAGAGAAAGAGAGGGAGAGAGAAAGACAGAGACAGAGACAGAAACAGACAGACAAACAGACAAACAGACAAACAGACAGACAGACAGACAGACAGAAAGACAGGCAGACTGACAGACAGACAAATCTGTTTCGAATAACCTGTAACAAACGATGACTACAAAGTACTACACTCCAGTGTCACCTAGCAAACTACACGCCATAATAATATAAATGTCATCGAAAAAAGGACAGGGTCACCAACAACGAAGTGTTAAGGAAAACAAGACAGATCCCAGTCAGAGATGAGGTAGGAAGAAGACGGTGGTGATGGATTGGACATACTCTCAGGAAGTCAGGCAGCTGCATAACAAAGAAAGTTTTGGATTAGAATCCATAGGGTGAGAGATCAAGAGGAAGACTGCTTTGAACCCGGAGAGGAGTCACAGAATCGATGTACAGAAAAGTAGTAAGACAGGGAATAACATCAAGAGGTTAACCCAGGATAGAAAAGGTGGAAATTGATTGTCCGTGGCCTATGCCCGGGAGCAGGATGAGAAAGGCAATGATGATGATGATGATCGAAAAAGGATATTTTGTTTTTAGCTTCAGAAATATGTCCTTTTGGTACGTTCCGTCAAGAAGAACAACGTAAACCAGTGTCACATAAGCTTAAAAATGTATCTTTTTTTTAGTATTGAAACATAATACATTGTATTTCCAGATATAGACGAGTGTGCAGTCAGCAATGGCGGGTGTAGTCAGGTGTGTGATAACCAGCCTGGCACCTTCCGATGTCTCTGTAATAGCGGCTATACTCTGGCCTCTGACAGTAGAGCTTGTGATGGTGAGTGGTGGCAAAACTGCTAGACAATAAGGAGCAATGAAACAATTTTCCATAGAAAATACTATTACTTTGTATATAATTATTTTTTGTCCTGTTAAAGTAACTGAATTATCAAAAATCCAAAGCAAAAAGGTCAAAGATGAATGAAATAGCATGATATTGAATGTGTTATGAATACATGCCATGTCCACTTTCATTCTTATCTTTTAAAGTCAAATTTACCCCCTTCCCTAAAACAACCCCCTCCCCAAAAGAGACAAAAACGAAACAGGTTTTCTTTTCTAAGCTGTATATTGTTGGTCTTGTGACAGTAGTTGAAGTGTACACAGGCAAAGAACAAGTGCAAAAGTCCAGAAATAAAGTAACAGGATATCGAAAATGTTATGAATACGTGTCTTATCCCCTCTTATATGGTCGCTTTTCAGCACAGGGGGGCTATCCCAAACATTCTGTTCTGAGAAAATCGAAGGAAACGTTTTTGCCTCTTGCTCAGTTTCTTTAAAAGACAAGGAGCGTTTTCTCTATACGCTCAAATGAACCAAACTTTTCATATAGGTAGAGCAATACCCTCTTTTGGTGTAGGTCAAGATTTCTGAAACCTCCGAAATCTAGGTCAGCCCACTAGTCCTTAAAAGCGACCATATTATTTCAACTCGTTGCAACCATTGTTTAAATTTATTTTTTTTTCTCCAGATATAGACGAATGTGCAGTCAGCAATGGCGGGTGTAGTCAGGTGTGTGATAACCAGCCTGGCACCTTCCGATGCCTCTGTAACAGTGGCTATACCCTGGCCTCTGACAGAAGAGCATGCGATGGTGAGTGTTGACCAAACTGATAAATTTAGACAATGAACAGAAAATGATATGTTTTTCTTCAAAGATTAAAACACAAAAATTTCTTTCTTTCTTTTTCTTCCTTGTTTTATAATTTTTTTTGGCAAGAGTTTAACGGTGCTCACAACTGCATAAGGATGAGCGCGCGGGACACACCAAACATTTTTAGTTGGTAGGTAATTTTGAACTTTGGCCGGGTGGCGGCCGAGGCCTACTCTTATCGATTTTGAAGCACCAAGTTAACGTGCACAATTTGCACACGGGACCCCCTTGATTTTTTTGCTCTTATCCGAGAAGGCTAGGTGTAGATCTTACCTACCAAAAGATCAGGGGAGTGTCTGAAAGACAACAGTAAGAAGGAGCCAAGGAGAAGCAGTAGAATGGCTACAGAAAGAGTCAGGAGCCATGAAGAGGGTATGAAGGAGGTGAGGGGGGTGTGACAGAAAGTGGAGACGAAAGCAGACGACAGAACATTGTTAGAAAGCAGGAAAGGATGTGAAAGGAGAACATTTCAGAAAAGAAAATGTTCCGTCGCTATTCGGATTCGAACCCGGTACCTATTGAATGAGAGGTGAACACCTTAACCTCTAGGCCACGAAAGCCCCCAATTCCCTTTCAAGAGTAGTCAAAGTATACACAAGCAAATAAAAACGTCTGTTTTTGTTAATGCCACAACACATACGTGTGATTCTCTTTTACACACATTTTGCTTCAGATATAGACGAGTGTGCAGTCAGCAATGGCGGGTGTAGTCAGGTGTGTGATAACCAGCCTGGCACCTTCCGATGTCTCTGCAACAGTGGCTATACCCTGGCCTCTGACAGTATAGCATGTAATGGTGAGTCTTGACAAAACCTACCCCCCCCCCTTCCCCCTCCCTAAAAGAGACAAAAAGGAGACATGTTTTCTTTTGTAAGTTTTATATCATTGGTCTTGTGACAGTAGTTGATGTATACAAAGGCAAAACAAAAGTGCAAAAGTGAAGAAATACAATAACATGATATCGAATATCTTAAGAATACGTGTCATGTCCCTTCTTATATTTCAACTCGCTGCAATCATTGTTTAACTTTTCATTTTGTTCCAGATATAGACGAGTGTGCATTCAGCAATGGAGGGTGTAGTCAGGTGTGTGATAACCAGCCTGGCACCTTCCGATGTCTCTGTAACAGTGGCTATACTCTGGCCTCTGACAGTATAGCATGTGATGGTGAGTGATGGCAAAAGTACCAGGCAATGAAGAGAAAAGGACACATATTTCTGAGTTCAGTGCTTAAGTGGATGTCTTTCTTCATAAGAACTTTGCCGCCTCATCTCGCCGATTGGCGATGTTTACCATCCAGTCTCTTTGGATTTTCCCCAAAATATGATGGCAAAGTGTTTTCAGTCTTACTCTTCATATATAGCAACTCAGTATATTATTTTCTTGGTGCTGTAACCCACGATTAACAACATCAACACGCATCTTATCTCCCCTAATCTCTCTGAATCCTGACAGATGTTGACGAGTGTGCAGTGAGCAACGGTGGTTGTGGTCAGGTTTGTGATAACCAGCCTGGCAACTTCCAGTGTCTTTGCAATGCCGGATTTACGCTTGACCGGGATGGTAAAACCTGTAATAGTAATACACCTGGTAAGTGATCTGAATCATAATGGATAACCAGCAACCCTCCCTTTTTTCGATGCAGATAGGTTAAGATATTTAAACCGATCTGTGCTTGGGTGGCGCTGTTGGAAGACCTTATACTTCTTTACTTTCCCTTAGCTGATTCTGTCTGTCGCTCTGTCTTACTTTTCCCCTAGTACTAAATGAGCATCATTGTGTCAATGTACATTTCTTTACTGAAACTTCAATTTTAGTTTTTAAAATCCCAACAGCAACAATGTTGAGTATTAACAATATTATTATACACAGCCACACAAAAGACACATATTAGCAGATAGACAGGAGAGACATGCAAACACGCACACATACAAACACACGCACACTCACACACACACACACACACACACACACACACACACACACACACATACGTTCTCAAGTCACACAGACACACAGAGAAAAAAAACCAAGTGGATCTTTAATGTGCAGAACTTGCACACCGGACTTCCGTGATTTTTCGCGCCTTTCCGAGAAGGCTAGGTGTTAGATCTTATCTACCTTTAAATCAGGAGTGTGGCTGAAAGACAGCAGTACGAAAAAGTCAAGGAGTAGCAGTAGAAAGGCTGCAAAAAGATCCAGGAGCCCAGAAAAGGGAACAAAAGAGATGAAGGGGTGGGGGGAGGAAGTGGAAACGAAAGTAGACGACAGAACATTGTTAGAGAGTAGGAAAGGGTGTGAAAGGAGAACATTTCCGTCGTTGTCCGGTTTCGAATTCGGGACCTATTGAATGAGAGGCGAACACCGTAACCTCTCGACCACGAGAACCCACTAATTATACCGTAAGCTAGCAAACAAGCGAAAAACAGACCATAAACACAGACATGTTCTCGGGAACTCTCGAATCTGGGTAGCGACTGAAAAATTTGATTTTCTAAAAATGTCTTATTTAAACTCCTTTCCTGCTCTCTAGCAATGTTCTGTCGTCTGCTTTCGTCTCCACTTTCTGACCCCACTTCCTCACCTCCTTTGCCCCCTCCTCTGGGCTCTGGACTCTTTCTGCAGCCTTTCTATTGCTACTCCTTGGTTCCTTCTTACTGCTGTCTTTCAGTCACACGCCTGATCTTCTGGTAGGAAAGATCTACACCTAGCCTTTTCGGACAAGGGCGAAAAATTATAGTGAGCCCGTGTTCAAGTTGCGCACGTTAAAGATCCATTGGTGGTCTAAAATCGATATGAGTAGGCTTCGGCCACCACCAAGGCAAAATTCAAAATTTTGTACCAACTGAAAAAGTTTAATGTGTCCCGCGGGTTAGTAAATATGATCTTATGCAGTTGCGAGTCCCGTAAAACACTTACAAAAAAACAACCCAAACATGTTCTCCAAATTTTCCAGACGTGGACGAGTGTGCTGTGAGCAATGGCGGTTGCAGTCACGTCTGCGACAACCTTCCAGTCAGCTACCGGTGTCTCTGTAACTCTGGATATAGCCTGGCAGCTGACGGCAAATCCTGTGACGGTAAGGGTTAGGATTAAGGCGAGCTTGTAATACTCTTTTGTATATTATAGCTATCTGCGTCGTTATAAAAAACATACGAAAAAAACAACAACAAAAAACCTCCAAAAAATCTAAATCAAAACCAAACAAGAGAGAGAGAGAGAGAGAGAGAGAGAGAGAGAGAGAGAGAGAGAGAGAGAGAGGGAAAGAGACTGAGGGAGTGAGTGAGAGAGATTGAGAGAGTGTGAGAGAGAGTGAGAGTGAAGTGAGAGAAAGTGAGAGAGAGTGAGAGAGTGAGAAAGAATGAGAGAGAGTGAAAGAGAGGGAGAGAGAGGGAGAGAGAAAGTGAGAGAGTGCAAGAGAGAATGAGTGAGAGAGAGAGGGGGAAAGAGTGGGAGAGAAAGAAAGATATATATCTTTATATATATGGAGACAGAGAGAGAGAGAGAGAGAGAGAGAGAGAGAGAGAGAGAGAGAGAGAGA